AAAGCTAAAAATTTACTTCCATTGGTGAAGATCTGTTAAGTCTAAACAAATTCTACCTATGAAATTCATTATCATGAATATTGCAAAGCCATAATAGTGCCATCTAGTCCAATGAAGAACAGAAAAAAACTTTATTTCAAGAAGACTGTCAAAACTTAGGAGTGATGGAGATTTCAATGGTAAGAATTTGCATAATTCACATATTTTGACATCTCAATGAATTTAAGTGCTATTTAATAAACTGCTAGTAATTAACTATTTTAAAATTAAGAATTGATACTATAATGTATTACATATATTATTATGTTTCACAATAATATAGACAATCACATATCACAGATGTTCTTTTTTATAAATAACTTTATGTAAAAGCCACAATTTTCAAAAAGTTTAAAACGTGACTCTCATACAAATGGAGAATTAACACACACCAAAGACATATTCACTCATTAATGAGGAAACAGTAAAGCCAATTCCAAGAGTATTTGTGAAACAGAAATGTACATAGTTAATGAGGAAAGTGATACTGAAGTAAGTTTGTTAAGTTATAAACAAAAAACTGGATAATGTCCTACAGGGCAATAAAGCAGTAAAAACTAATATCAATTTCTATACAAGACAGAAATGATTTGAAATTCTACTGAACAAAATAAAATACACCAGTATAAAATTTCACAAAATCTAGCTCTTAATCAATAGAACATCAAACCAAGGCACAGAGGCATGTCTCCTAAGGGATAATCCTTAGAAAGGCCTATAGGAAAATGCTCTAGTATGCTACTGAAAGATATACAGCCATGCTTATAACTTATTTCCAAATTTTATATAACTTTTTAATAAAGAAACATCACTTGATGACCTCATTTTTTTCCCTTTTGCTTACTTACATCATCAGCATTTTCAAAGTGTTTTTCACATTGGGGCAATCTCAATCATTTGCCCATGCTCTCTCCCTCTCTCTCCATGCAAGCACCCTGAAATCTTTTTGTTTTTCTTTTTCATCATCTTATGAGAATTGTTCCATATGTGGAAGAGTAATCTACAAAGAAACTGTGGATATGAGAATGCTTGACTGATCTTGGCTCCTGCCACCACTTCTGAAATGTCTCAGCAAAATTATGATTTACTACATATATTGAATCTTTATTACTTCTAAGTAGTACAAAGAACATCTTATAAATTACAGGGTAAACCACAGTGCTTTATAAGGCATCATTTTTTTTCTCATCTTCAAAATAATTTATAATTTAATAAAGATGTTCATTACTAACTATGTTATGCTTGAATTTGCAGGCAACATGTCTTTCAGGACAGGAACCCAAAATGGAAGAGGCCATTGTATGCCTTTACAGTTAATATATCTATGTAAATGAATAAGTCAAATTGTCCAATTTTTTTTATTTGGTACTTTTAATCCCTATACCCCTCACTGAAAATGAGAAAATTTTTCTATAAGAAATTACCACTGGCTTCTGGCTTTAATTTTCCCACATTTGCTTGAGGGAGGCAGCTAATTCCAAAAAAAGTAGCATCAACTAAGGTTATGCAGGTTGGACTTTCTATAAGGCTGCCTTCTGGGTATTTGGGTATGGGGAGAGAATGCTGAAATCCAGCCCAAACTCTCCTCTTTAAGTCCAAGACCACTGGGGCTTCATACATCAGCAGGAGGTACCCTGTAAAAAGTTTACAAAAGGCAACTTTTGGCTGAAGGCTAAATTATGGTTGCAATTAATCTGTGATCCATTTTACAAAAAAAGCAAAAGCAGCCTCAATCTGTCTGTGAACCTGAAGGCAAAATTTGGCTGGAGAGGTTTCATATGTACAGACAGATTCATGCACATATAACTCACAGTTACCTATAGAAAGGCTAACTAGAAAAAGGACAGGGTATTGTCAGGGGACTCAGAAATAAGAAATTCACAACATTCAAGAATAATAAAAGTAATAGCTAACATTTATTAAGAGCATACTGTGTCCCAGGGACTGACATACATTTTTAAATGAATCATTTCAATATTTTGTTGAATAGATTATATATATACCATAATTGCCTTTGACTTTCTGTGACTGAATAAATCAATCAGAAATTCAAATAGTATACCATATAATAATCTGGAAGCAAACAGCAGAATCCAGATTTTAAATCTTCATTTCCCATGAAATATTATAAAAGTTTTTTTTTTAATTTATCCACCTTTCATTTTTGTAATTACCAACTTTCAAAAAAAGTTTTTATTTTTAATTTCAACTAAAGAATCTCTGCATGGAACTTGTTAAGAATGTATCTCAGCTGCTGCTTTTTCTTTTCAGTGTGACCCCAAACAAGGAATGTTTCACATGGTTTTAGGTTTCTGAGTGGAAGTTTAACACAGCTGTGATATCAAATGAGGTACCACCTGGTCTAATCATCATAACAATATGTCCTCTGTCCTGCACAGCTAACAGATGGATTGGGTATCAGCCTGATGTCATAATCTGTTAAGTTTGCAATATGGAGCATTACCCACCCATTTAGGATTCATCTCATCTTCTCTGATGGCATGATGTACCTTAAATAGAGAGATGACACTATCATTATATGCCACTATCACTAGTCATATGGAATCTTAGTTTGCATTACTTAAGAATAATTATATGGTGCTCTAATTCATTTGGCGAACTGTCACTCCACTACTGAAATACTTATGTGGAATTTTAATAAATACTATGACATTCATAAAGCAGATTACTAGTCTTCAACATTTATTTCATTCTTTCTTAATTCAAATTCTAAATATCGACTTTCTTAAATATGTGCTGCTGATCTTTCTCTTTGGAGCATTATATTAAATCTCAAAAAGTATAGAGTTGATGTGATTTTATACTTGCATCTAGGCTGTCATGTAAAATATGGTAATATAAAAGTTATCAGTAACGTGTATCTGTAATATATATGATAAACATTTAAAAGGACAATATGATTAGTGACAATAATTCATCAAATTTTTATTGTCTCTCAAATACAAGGCATAGTAATAATGTGAATGCAGAGATAAACATGAAACTAAACTATTCCAGCCTTCAAAAGGTGTTCAGTCTCTTCTGATTCACGTCCTCTCTCTGCTACCCTCAGAAATACTCATTTGAGTTCATGCAAACAGCAATTCCTTAAGTCTTGTAGATCCAACAGTTTACTAGGCCATTGCCCATCCCCCACTCCTTTTCTGCTGTTATAGAGGCTAGTAATAACACTGCTCATCTTGTCAGTCTCCCTGACAGCTAGGGCCAGCCAGTGAGATGTAACAGAAATCTGGTAGTAGTTATGGTTGAAGTATGTTGGGAAGCTATGAGAAAGGTACACTTTGCTGATAACAATAGAGGACATCTATTACCACCGCCATCTCCTTTCTTCCATCCTTGAATATAAACATGATGCTGAGAGTTGCAGCACCGTGAAGCATTAAGATAATTTCTAAGGTCGGCAAAGTGCAGGATAGAAAGCAAATGAGAAAATGATGATATTGTTGAACTTATCCATAGCTCTGGTGTGCCCTCATGTGACTTCTTGCTCAATAAAAATAGAGTTTTATTTGTTTAATCCATTGTTGGATAATTTGTTACCCACAACAAAAACAGTGGATATAGCAATTCGTCAAAATAAGCCTACTCTATTAATGCATAATTTTCTCATTAATATCCTATTTCTTTTTAGAATTGTATCTTTTTTCCAAACATAGAAAGGAAACTATAAAGCATTAATACTGCGGTTTAATTTTGTTTAGGATGGTTTCCATCATAGAAACATGATGCAACAGCTTCATTAAAACTATAAATTGTTACTGTGTAATAAAATATTAATACATTTCTTTTAACCATATAATGAAGTATTCATGAAAAGTATAGTACCATTTATTTTTTAATAAAAATTTGATCTTTTTCAAATTATGGAAATATTGAGAAATATTAAATCTTTATCACTGTATCTTCATTTATCTTTATCATATTAAGTTTTTTTTCCACAAAGTAGCAATTCTTTGTACTTTTATAGGATTATACTTTCATTAAACAGGCATGCCTTCCATACATCTAATTCCATTTTGAGAACAGAGAATACAGAAAATAACGAGACATGATTCAGGAAGATCAAACCTGAGTGAAGAAAATCAGTAAAGGTTTTCATTTAGCAGCACACTGCCACCACACAGAAAAAGGGTAGTGGGTATTTTTATGTTCCACCAAGATACCCTCAAGTTCCACACACCCAACTGCTAGCAGTTCCCAGCTTCAGTGTGATCGCTGAAGACTTGCATAAAATGCCTCCATCACAGATAATTGCCTTGGAGGTACAGAACTGTTTCACCAAAGTTATGTAGGGATCCAAAGTCTGGCCTGCTGGTCTCCATTAGAGGAAACTTAAAATAAACTAAAAATGTGAGATTTATAAATCATCATGGGATTGGCTGAGGGCTAAGTTGCAACTCTCTTGAAAGTCAATTTCTCTTTCTGCTCAATTTTTCTTATTTCCTTTCATGTCTTTCTCATGAGAATACTCCACATAATACTTCTACATGCAATTAATTTCCAAAGAAAAAGATACCTGACCAAGATCTTGAAGATGAATGAATGACAGTCAAGAAAAGAGGAAAAAGGCAATCCTCACAAAAGAAAGAACATTTTTAAAGGCACCTAGAGAAATGCAAGGTAGCATGGATGGCATAGATTAAGAAGCTGGGAAAGGCATACAGGAAACATGCATAAAAGATTTTGCATATAAAACCAAAAAAATCTGAATTTTATTCTGAACATAATAGAAGACATATATCAATTAAAAATGGAAGGAAAAATCAAATGCCCAACTTCAATGGCTAAAATAAATACGAGTATATGATTTTTACCTGAAAACAAATCTACCAGAAGGATGACTGCCAGCATTGGTTATACAACTTATTATATGATATCATGCCCCTGCCTCCTCTTGGTTTCCCTATGGCCTTAAAAAGGTCTGTGAAGGATTCAATTACCTTATTCTGTTCAACAGCGGGAGAAACAGGAAGAAGAATAACAGCAGCAGTACTCTCCATTTTATGCCATGTCACTTCACATTTGAGAAGAAGGCAAATTTTCTCAACATCCACCCAGTAGAATTCTGCTGTAGATAACTTTTATAGTCCCTATGGTAGGAGCAAACAAGGGAAATGCAAGTAGGAACAGAGGTTAGGTAAGTCACCCTATGTTGTCCACAAAGGATTCAGAGGATATGTATGGCAGGATCATTACAAGGGGAGGAAATTCTGTAAATGGAGTAGTTTGAATTTGCTATTGAATAATGCAGATAAGATAGGATGAAAGCCTAGAATAAAGAATGATCATAATAGGTTAGTAGGAATTTAAATAAATAAAATAAGCAAGAGATATGTGGAATGATATGCCAAGGACTTGGAAACTGATTCAGTTGCTATGGAATGACACAAATTTCAAAAGATTAGAGCAAACTGACAAGTGCTTCATTGATTTGCATATGCATTTTCATTTTTATATCACTGAGATGGGACAGGCATGATTATTCCCATTTTAGAGATTCAGAAACCAATGTTCAGAGAGATCAAAAAGGATTTGCTTAAAAAAAAAAAAACCCACAGCTAATAATTTTTAGAACTAGGGCTCAAATCCAAGGTTTCTAATGATTAAGTTAATTGTGCTTGCTCTCTGAATGTATAATTTAGTAGAGCTCTAATGAATAACTTTTTATTATCCAAATCATTAAGCACTAGAATTAGTAAGGTATTGTGCTTCTATAAAGCATTATGGCTTTGTGTAAATACAAAATCAAACCTCATAGCAACTATAAGCAGAAATAAAGAGAATGGAGAAGAAAAAAATGGTATAGAGCAGAATATATAGGATGAGTAACAGCTTATATTCATGTTCAAAGATGTTTAACATTTCAATAATTTTTATACTTTATTGATTTGATTGCATGGCCTGTATTCAAATATTCATGTTTCATTTATCTGGTAACAAATATTAGCCTCATAATATATGTCAGGAACTGACATTTAGAAAAATGAGTAAGACACAACACTTAGATCAATATTAGAATTAGAAAAATACACCCATCAAAAAAACAACCCTTCAAAGTTATAAAAGTGCTCACCAATTCAATTTCATAAGAAAATAAAGAAATGAAAAATATTAGAACTGAGGTGGCAATGTATTAATTTTCAGTAGCTAATATATAACTATTCTAAGAAAGCACATAGGTATAAATTTGAAAATGTTCAGTTAGTAAGATTAGTCAGTAAGTTATGTAGTTAAAAAAGCAAATATGCAAAATCAATAGCTATCCTTTTGATATGTTTTGGCTGTGTCCCCACCAAAATCTCATCCTGAATTCCCACATTGCAAGAGGAACCTGGTGAGAGGTGATTGAATTACGGGGGCAGGGCTTTCCCATGCTGTTGTCATGATACTGACATGAGATCTGATGTTTTTAAAATGGGAGTTACCCTGCAGAAACTCTTTGCCTGCCACCATCCACGTAAGTTGTGACTTACTCCCTCTTTCCTTCCGCCATGATTGTTAAGTCTCCCCAGCCTTGTGGGACCATAAGTCCTATTAAACTTCTTTCCTTTGTAAATCTCCCAGTCTCCAGTAAGCCTTTATCAGCAGCATGAAAATGGACTAATACACCCTTATAGAGACAATTATTACTAGCTAGAACTTACAATAGAAAATAGATCACTTTCTGTAGAAATTGCAATTATTTTACACCTAGAATTAACTCTAGTCAGAAATGTAACAACTAAATGATGAAATCTTTAAAACTTTACTGAAGACATAAAGGAAGTCTTGAACTAATGAGAATACCGATGTCTACTATGTTTTATGGAGTTACTCCGTATTTTAATTCTAAGAGATAAAAATGAAGAATAGAGGATGAGGAACTCACATCTGCTAAAGCAAATCAGGAAGAGAAGACTTCTTAAAAGAAATAAGGCTTGAATTGAGAATTGAAAAATATGAGTTTCCCAAGTATAGAAGGTAGAAAGAATATCAGAACGAAGAAACAGCTTATTTGAGGCAAAGTTACATTAAAGAGCACTATATGTTCAAGGAATAACAATTTATTGTCTATGGATGAAACAGAATAGTTGGAAGAGAAATGTAGGAACTAAGAATCTTATTATCTTTATTGGGGAGAAAATAATACGCAAATCATAAATGCCATGAAAACACAATGTTGCTTAATTTTCCACATATTTTGGTTAATTTTTAGGTATTAGCTATTAAAGAATTGGCATATAACATGTTCTAGAATGTTGAAGTAACAAAATGTTGAATTCATTGCTAAAGTGAAAGCTTTCCTGAATTACACCTGAGAAATAAGACACTGTTAGCTTGTTAAAATAGTATTAAGTGTTAAGCCTCTCATAAAGTTAATTTAAAAATATTTGCTTTTTGTATGAAGCACAAAGGTTTACTTCCTTTATAATTAGTAACATAATAAGAGTCAATTAAAGTATTAGGTAAATAGTAAATCCCTTTAGAAAATAAATAATTCTTGGTTATTGATACTTAATATTTTTATAACCTGTGTTCTGTAGAAATTGCTTTGCAGAGAACAGAAACTTAGTATATTAAATTGAACTTGAAATGGCTGAAAATAGGGCAAAGCAAACTTCAGTAGTAATATGTCTGCCCACATATTAATGAGAAGGGTTCACGTAAATCCATTCTATGTGTCCTTAAATTTGTTACAATAAATATAAACATATTTTTAGATTTTTATTAAATTACTATTTGTATTTCTCCTTAAGTCCAAAAAAGCAAGTGTCACATAAAAAAGGTTAACACCGACAAAGACTTATAATCAAATATGCATGCAGATTTGTACAAAGATTTAATGTATTTCTTTTTAAAACGAAAATTTCTATAATTTCACTAGAACCCTTTGTTGGCTTCCATCCCAGTTGCTAGACAGCATATATTACATCATTTTCTCTGCCTTTTTCTCATCAACTTTCTATGATTTTTGGTTTACATCTACATAGAATTCAAGTATATCCAGCACTTTATGCTATGCCATGAGTCGTTTCTTTTCTTTGACTCCATCTGCCTCAGGGGATACTCTAGATCTGCTCTTCCTCTTCCTGTGATATCCAATCTAAGGAAATGCAAAATCCTAGAAGTTCTAATCTACCCCTTAGGAAAGGAGATTTTCATTTAGTTTTCTGGTAATTTCATTGTAAACACAGAATAACATTTTCTTTCTTCATTTATAAAAAGCCTAATCACCACTGGAGAATGGTAATATGTATAATTTTAATTATTAATACATACTTCAACATTATATGCCATACTTCAACATTAGATGCCATACTTCAACATTATGTGCCATACTTCAACATTAGAATACATTATATGCCAATTCTTTAATAGTTAGCTAATACCTAAAACTTGACCAAAATATGTGGAAAATTAAACAATGTTGTATTTTCAGGGCATTTATGACTTACATACTCTTTTCTCTCTAATAAAGGTGAATACAAGATTCTTAGTTCCCACATTTCTCTTCCAACTACTCTGTGTTCCATCCATGGCCAATTCATTGTTATTCCTTGAACACGTAGTGCTCTTTAAGATAACTTTGCCTTATATAAGCTGCTTCGTCTAGCTGATATTCCTTCTACCTTCTATACTTGGGAAACTCATATTTTCCAATTCTCAGTTCAAGCCTTATTTCTTTTAAGAAGTCTTCTCTTCCTGATTTGCCCTAGCATATGTGATTTCTCATGCTCTATTCTTCGTTTTTCTCTCTTAGGGTTAAAATACAGAGTAATTCCTTAAAACATAGACATTGGTATCCTTGTTAGTTCAAGACTTCCTTTATGTCTTCAGTAAAGTTTTACATTTTTCATCATAGAGTTTTTAAATTTCTGACTAGAGTTAATTCCAGGTAAGATAATTGCTGTTTCTATAGAAAGTGATCTATTTTTCTATTGTAAGTTCTAGCTAGTAATAATTGTCTCTATAGGGGATAGCTATTGCTTTTGTCTATTTGCATTTTTAACTAGATAATTTATTGACTAATCTTACTAACTTAACATATTTGAAATTCATATATGCTTTATTAGGAAAATAGTTATATACTCTGTGCTAAAAATAAGTAATAAATGTACTGCCACCTCTGTTCTAATATTTTTAATTTATATTCTTATCAAATTGCATTAGTGAGCACTTTTTTTTTTTTTGAGACGGAGTTTCGCTCTTGTTACCCAGGCTGGAGTGCAATGGCGCGACCTCAGCTCACCGCAACTTCTGCCTCCTGGGTTCAGGCAATTCTCCTGCCTCAGCCTCCTGAGTAGCTGGGACTACAGGCACGTGCCACCATTCCCAGCCAATTTTTTGTATTTTTAGTAGAGACGGGGTTTCACCATGTTGACCAGGATGGTCTCGATCTCTTGACCTCGTGATCCACCAGCCTTGGCCTCCCAAAGTGCTGGGATTACAGGCTTGAGCCACCATGCCTGGCCTTAGTGAGCACTTTTATAACAACTTTAGAGGGTTGCTTTTATGATGCCTATATTTTTCTAATTCTAATTTTGAGGTAGTATGTTTCTAAGGTTTTACCAGTGGAAAATGGTGATTTAGAATATATATTATTATATACTAAATATTACTGCATACTCTTTCTCATATTAATGTGTTTTTTTCTCTTCCAATCTATTAGTAAAGGATACTTTGTTATCTTTTTAAGTTGATGATAGTGATGTCACAGAAATTGCTTTATTTATATTCCTTAGAATAACTGAAGTAATGGAAATAACATTTTGAAAAAATTGAATTGATACATATTTTATTTCCTGAAAAAATTTTTCCTCAGTTAAGTTCTGGGGTACATGCGCAGAATGTGCAAGTTTGTTACGCAGGTAATCTTTGCCATGGTGGTTTGCTGCACCTATCAACCCATCACCTAGGTATTAAGCTCAGCATGCATTAGCTATCTTTCTTGATGCTCTCTACCTCCCCACCCTCCTCTGACAGGTTCCAGTGTATGTTGTTCCCCTCCCTGTGTCCATGCGTTCTCATTGTTCAGCTCCCACTCCCAAACACATGGTGTTTGGTTTTCTGTTCCTATGTTTGGTGAGGATGTTTGCTGAGTTTGCTTAGGATGATGGCTCCCAACTTCATCCATATCCCTACAAAGGACATGATCTCATTCCTTTTTATGGCTGCATAGTATTCCATGGTGTATACGTACCACGTTTTCTTTATCCAATATATTGATGAGCATTTGGGTTACTTCCATGTATATGCTTTTGTGAATAGTGCTACAATGAACATACACATGCATGTATCTTTATAATAGAATGATTTATATTCCTTTTTGTATATATCCAGTTATGGGATTGCTGGGTCAAATGATATTTCTGGTTCTAAATCTTTGAGGACTCACCACACTGTCTTCCAAAATGGTTGAATTAATTTACATTCTCTCTAACAGTGTAAAAGCATTTCTCTCCAACCTTGCTAGCATCTGTTGTCTCTTGATTTTTTAAT